CCTTTCCCAGTTTATCACATCCTTGCTATTCTTCTTCAAGAAGCGATTGTCCTCGGCTGCGGCAGGATACTTAGCATTCAGTCTGTGATAGATTTTCTAACATGAATAGTCATAAGATTAATATCAATGAAATTAGGCTACTTGATGTAGTTTTCCATAAAACGAAGGAATCTGGTAGAAAAAAGCATTACTTTGCCCTGCGAGTTTATTAATCATTAAAGTTTACGATTATTCAGGTTAGAAAATCCGTCACAGCCACGAAATAAGCAATGCGAATAAGCGCTGCGGTCATATTTTCATGTGAGGCGCGAGCCTGGGTCTGACATGGTTATATGTATGTTAAACTATTTAATAAATTTTACTGCGAATGCTAAGCTATTTCCATACCAGGTCCATATCAGACATAAGACTAGGCCTATGTCAGATTTTTTTATCAGGTTATGGCATGGCAAAGCAGTAGCAAAGTATCGTGGTGCTGGCCAGTATCGTGGCGAGGAAATTTCTGCCAAGGCATACACATGCAATTTATATATGTAACTATTATAAAATCCTTCAATAAATTTCGGCTGTAAATTATTATTTACTACAATATATTTGTCTTAATATGTCATATAATCACAGGTAAAAAATGACAAGTAATAATGTCAACATTGCTAGCTATATGGGCCTCAACACAATGCTAGATCGTAACTGAGATATAAAACGCCAAATTATAATCGTAGATCAACGCACAATATTTTGGGATTATGCACTGACCTACAACTACGACTCAGGTTTCACGATTTAGATACAGCCATCGTTGTGTTGAGTTCAAGCCTATATAGCTAGCAATACTGACATTATTAATTGTCATTTTAACATAAAAATGACAAATGCTATCGGCTTGCTATCTGTGCTGAGACTCTATATAATACTGCTTGAAAAGTCCTAACATGAGATCAAAATGACATTCTCGCGATGTCAATAGTTTGCGGCATTTGACCATCATTAAGATGTCATTAAGATGTCATTTAGTGATATCGTCTATAGTCAGTAAATGACCAAAATTTGACGTCAAAATGATGTGTGTTTGCTACCTGGGCCGTGCGCAATCACTTACTTTTTTACGTTTTACTGATCATCCAGATCTTCGTATTGCGTCCCATCTTAGAATCATATTCGATTACCACTAAGAATCTATAACCAAACACTTGTGACTCCCTACTTATTGTCCAAGTGAAATCTTACAAACCAGCAGATGTCCTCATGATAAGTCACTGGATCTGTAGGAATGCGGAATACGTAGTGATGTATTTTCATTACATGTAGTACTCGTCACGCCGCTACATTATTACCTGTCCAGAAAGGAGTTAATATAGAGCTCATTATATAAACGTTCAGCAGATTGGTCTAGGAATTCTCGAACCTTCGCGAGATTCTATAACTGTCGTATAATTAATCAGAGGAATTTGGCAACGTTTCATAATGTTTCGTTTCATAATGTTAAAAATCAGAGAATTTATTCTCTTTTTTTTTACAGGAGTTAACTCACATATATATATATTCAAGAAATTTCTTTCAAGAATTTCCTTTTTCTTTTCATAGATTCATCTCTAGCTTTTAGTTCTTAGTAATCTTACCACAATACATTCAGTAATGTAAAGTGTTTGTATTTACAAAAAGAAAAATAAATCATGTCACATCTTAGCACAAAGCTATACTAATTAGATGAAGAGATTGTCATTCATTATTCTTTGTCTTGTATTATGTTAAAAAGTATAAAGTACTTTTTTTTTTAGAACTTAGAACTTAGACAAAGCGTGTTCTACATAGTTTATCCGGACGAGACTAGGGCATAATTTTAATTATCTATTACTTCATATATATATTTTTAAAATTAAACGAACGAACTTACCAAGTGAATTTCGATCTTAATTATGCCTGTGTTTCGTCCGAATGGATCATTCTCATCCAAAGCACTAGGCTTTTCTCCCTCCCGTTTCAAGAGGTCTCAGTATGATTTATTTTTTTTCTCTAAACACAATGAAAGGGAATGCAGCGGCGCAAGGTGGTCACGGGAAGAGACACGCGCGCCTTTTATAATTACAAGCGGCAGCTATAAACTCTGTTGGACATGAACATGAACATGGAACCACAACTACATAGTTTATCCATTTGAATGAGATATAATTAAGATCGAACTTCACTTGGTAAGTTCGTTTAATTTTAAAAATATATGAAGTAATAGATAATAATTACAATCTTCCTACCTATATTACAAGTGTTATTACATGAGGTACATATTTCATACGTTTATTACATTTAGTGCACTGAATTCAATCTGAGCACTTTGTATATTTTGCATGTAAATCCCGCCTGCTAAAAATGCAGTATATCCCAAACAAATGAGATATATAAGACAACAAATTAAACAAAGAATACAAAAGCAAAGCACTTGTATTTTACTATACAACATGCTTTATTATTCCTCTATACTTATGTATCAAGAAATAACTATTAAATCTTTTACATGCCCTACAATAATCATTTTACATAGATTATAATTTATGATGTACTACTTATTACAGTGATAAATCGATTCAATTCACAATAAATTCATTGATAGTAAAAAACTGAAAACATAACACAATATACTAATATAACATAAAGGCAACAGAACAGTTGCGGGAAAATTATTCTCACTCCTTCTATTTTTTTCTGACTTCTGCGGCATAAATTCCAGCACGGCGTATTTGCCGGACTCTATATGATTATACATGTTTTTGAATATGTATGTTTATACATATTCATGTATGAAAAATGTTTTATCGAGATATAATTTAATTTCCAGAAATTCTCTCCACTGATCATCTAACCGTAATGCGAGTAACTTATTAAATTATTCTAGAAAAAGATTTAGCAAAAAGATTGTTAAGACAATCGTATATCTTCGCTTAATATGCATTATTTTAATTTAGATTAAATTCTTTGTTAATTTTACGCACTTACATCTGTGTCGATTCTTAAATGCTCTTTTGTGATTTTTGAAATTATAATTGTATAATAAAAGTTCTATATAAATATATATTACAATACTTCATACATATAATCAGATAACTTTGAGAAAATTTTAAAACATATATCTATACACATACTTTCCATGATCCTTCAAATATTATGAATGCAAAATTTTATTGTCTATGGAAAAAAACATTATTCTTATGTTATTCGTATATATTAAAGTACTACCGTTTGGAAAAATTAAAATCTTTAATTTTATACTGATAATTTCATACATTGAAATGCCTGAATTGTGAAAATCTGACATATTTTTTTAGAATTAAAAAAATATCGCAGCTTATGTAAACTTTTGTTAGTCAGACACGTATTCCATACTCAAACGTGATTTTTTAAATAATATAAACAAAGAAGATAAAAATTCAAAAAACAAAAATCTCTAAAAATTTCGTGATTACTTTGCGAAACATTTGGTTAAACTATTTATTAATATTTCGTCGAGTTACCCCAGATTAAAAAAAAATCATGTTTTTACGTTTATTGCTAAGAAAAGTAAGTTTAGCAAATTTTAACGCACGAAAGATACGCGCGAGCGGCCCGGTCTTCCCCACTCCATTGCACGCCGGAGTCCCCCACTTCGTTCGGCCTGCTGTCTCGCTCGCATTCCTCAACTTTCCAATGGTTTTAAACAAACTTTTTCGGCAGCAAAAAATTCGAGAATTTTTTGACAGCAAATTCAATCAATTCTTCCTCGACAATTGGTGCCAGATGAAACTCTTAATTTTAAAAACTAAAACACACAGTGATTTTTTTTTTTAATTTATATTAATTTATATATTATTATCTCGGCTCCTAATAATCGGAAAGTAACTTTTTTTTTAAATTCGTGGAAAAATATTAGCTGTCGAATGCTTCACATAGCTATTTGATATGATACATATTAACGGAATTATTCCATTTTTTTACGAAAAAAAAATACTTTTTAAAATTATTTTAAAATGTTTAACTGCAAAAAATCGTTTTGTTATTAAGTGATAGTGCAATTCTTAAAGAAGGATAAATCCCATATAAATTGCCATGCGATTGCTCAAAGATAAAGAAATTAAGTTTTCTGCAGACAGGTTTATTAACGTATATACTTGAGGCACGTACACATATATTCAGAAATAAGTACCGAACCGGTGCAAAAGTATCATCGGTCGTAAAAACGAAACCCTTTAAGCCTATTCTACAATGTGTTCTTTGTTTTCTGTTTCTTGCTTTTTACCTTTTGTTTTTTTCTCCTTTGCAACCGTTTTATCGACAATTATATTTCTTATTATATACTTCTTGTTTCTTTCGAAGTTTATTAACTTTTATTTCGGGCGATACAAAAAAACCGGATAAGAAGCAAAAAGATGTAAAGAAGTAAAAAGCAAGAAACAGAAAACAAAAAACACATTGTAGAAACTTTTAATCTGTACTCTAATTAATTTGTAATTTGCGATTCATCATTTAAACCATTGCTATCAGCAGATGTAATAGAAATATTTAAAATTTAAGCATAATAGCGATGGACAATAAATATGCATATATTCGAAATAATATTTGGAATACAAGGAATTGCTAATAAGACGCGCGAGCGATTGCGAAGCGGAAAAGTCGAGGGGTTATCCCGCAGACACGAGGCATGTCGCGCGCGCTAACAGCTTACTAATAAACTGTACAATTTTTAATACTTAAAGGCGTGACGACAATTATTTGATTAACCTGACCTGTCTCCAAGTTTCCAAAAACAAAGTTTCGTATAAAAAAATTTTATTCTACATTTTTGTAGTTCTATTCATTTTTTCGTGTATTCAATCTCTTCCCTGTTGTACCGCCCGATTGTATTATACCAATTTATAAACATGTTCTGTAAATCAAATTTAATTGAAATCTTATTAAACAAAAGTTTACATTAAGATCTCATGGAAAAATGCATGCGTGCATAGTTGTTTTTAAAAAGTATTTTGAAAACTTACATTTCGTGTCTCCAATTGTAGCGTTGGGAAGAAGATAAGTTTATATTATTATATATATATA